GTCTTTTTGTATGTGGTGGTTGATTTAAGAGAACAGCATGTTGCTGTGAAATTTTGGCATAAGAATTTTGGCACTTTCTTGCTCAGGAAAAATGCAGAAATTGTTGCAATGTATGGGAAAAACCCAAGTGTATGAATTGTTTTATTGTTTTAAAAAAGGTGAAGTGTTCGTTGATGACAAACCTCATTCTGGATGTCTGTTAACTTCACTAATGGATGAAAGTGTTGACAAAATCCTTGCACTTGCACTTGAACACCATTGAAGGTGAACATTGAAGAGATGGGGAAGTTATCTGAACTGTCTTGGAGCTTGGTTCAGCAAATTTTAATGGAAGATTTGGGAATGAGAAGGACCACTTCAAAATTTGTGCCTCAGTGGAAACATACTGTGCTTTGAAAGAATAGCTCCAAAAAGACCCAGACTTTTCTCCTAAGGTCACTGAGCTATTCTTAAGACCCAAAAGCAAACATCAGTCAAGTCAGTGGAAGATGGCATCATCACCTCGCCCAAAAAAGTTCACGTGAAATCAAAGATCAAGACAATGCTTTCTCTTGTTTTATTTTTCTATGTAAGGGGTGTAGTGCATTTGAGTTTGTTCCTCCAATTCCCACTGTTAAGCTTTTTATTTAGAGCTTCTGGAAAGATTGCATATCAGAGCGCAACAAAAAAGGCCTGATCCGTGGCAGATGGGATCTAGTGTTGACACCAGGACAAGGCAACTTGCTCTCACAGTCATCTCAGTGTGCCAGCCGTTGGCAAAAGACAGCATGCCTCTCTTGCCCCAGGCACCTTACTCAGCTGAGTTCACTCCTTATGACTTCTTTTTGATTCCATGAATGAAGAGTAACATGAAAGAATAGCAATTTGATGCTTTAGAGAAGGTGAAGAAAAAATGAGGGGAGGTACTATCAGCCAAACAGATAGTTTGGTTGAAAAATATTCCAAGAATGGAATCACATATTTGAAAAGTATATTAAATGTAATGGAGAGTCCTTTGAAGGTGATAGGGTTGTTTTATTAAAAATGAAATGGCATAGATTAGGAAAAAAT